GCATCGTATAAATGTACTGGATATAGTTGCTCGTTTCTCTCTCAGTCATCTAGTTCTATCTAGCTTACCATTTTCTATGTCCTGCCGCCTGCAGCCCCCTTCATCCTCAGGGATGTCGAAGACATATTTGGCAATATTGTATGGAGCTTACAAAGGGGCTGGATTTCTCTCTTAATCGCCCTCAATTATCACTGTCCTATGCCTATTCCCCACAACCAATAACCTCTCCTACGCTTCGCATAATTTTTTCCATTAGGCACATTCAGAATAAATAGAAGAGTTACGCAGATATCGCAACCTTTCGTGATATTAGTTGAGCGTATCGTGGAGCTATGGTAACACTAGTATAATAATTATATAAAGTACTCTGTCTTTCTGCAACTATCCCTATCTAGCTTACTACATCAGCTGGTGCTGTTCATCTCTCGCTTCACTGTCCCCCACACACCCGGGCACCCTCGAATAACAGTGCCACAATTTCCTAGGCACATCAGTGAAAGAAGAGACATAGCAACCATCTGTAATATTTTTTACTATCATTAGAATAGTAATACACAATGACTTTCATGCACCTATATACTTTTGTTTAGTTTCACAAATCCATCTTTTGGCCTCCACTTAGTAGTACAACTAAACGTCATGTCTCCACTCCAGCCTCCCAAATTCTTATTAGGGAGTTAATGATTTTAAATTTGGTACACCAGCTGAAATAAAGGGAAGCAAAGGGAAGCAAACCAGCTGAAATAAAGGGAAGCAAATCATGATGATTATTATCATTGGAGTATGGAATAGTAATATACTCTGTCTCTCTCTGTAGACCAATCACTGTCACGTCTTCCTCACTCCATGCTCTTATCGATTAGCGCACTACGACGTTTCCCACCTGCCCACTGTTGGTTATGACCTTGCAGTTCACATCAGTGCTGCGGACACGAGCATGCACTATACATCACTCAACACCACATATGGTGAGAAGTATAAAATTCTCATTCAAGTGTGGTTATTGTAGTATCGAGTTATGGGAATGGTTATCAGAGTATGTCCAGTATTCTTGGGGTCGGGCAACGACTCCGAACATGTCCAGGTGACTGAGCTGCTAGAGGTGGTAGTAGAAGTCCAGTTCTCGTGTCATGCGGACAAACAGTCTCCTCTTCAAGTTGGTCGAGAGCTGGGAGTAGTAGTGAGGCAGAGTGGAGTGGGTCTCAGTCCCTGGACTGGAGTGGGAGCCGCGGTCCACAAAAAACTCAGAGCTGGACTTCAGTCTGTGGATGAGGAGCCTCACGTCTCTGCTGTAGTTATTGACGTTGAGGAAGAGTGTAGTCCACTCTACAGGGGGCCGCATTGAACAGAATGGAGGAAAAGTGCTCGTTCAGTTCTCTGTCCGCAGTCTCCACAATCCACCTCACATATGGTGGGGAAGTCAATACCGAGATGGTAACTACCATTAGTTCTGGCCCACTCAATACCGGAACATGGATGGTACTTGGAGAGAATGACACATCTGTGTTTCTGAAAGTATGGTACTTGACTGACATCTCTGATACTCATTATGAGAGGGTCGGCCTCTCGATCGTGGTCAGAGAACCCCAGCGGAGGCTCAATCTTGTCTCTATAAAGCCACCAGCCTCTCGAGTGGATTACGTAACACCGTGAACCTGAAGTAGTCATTTCAGCTTGGTGAATGTTCAATTCTTGCTGATTCCTCATAGAAAAGAAACATAGAGACCCGACAGAGTGCATAATAGGACATCAAACAAAGAGAAAAAATTATTGTGAAGGAGCAGGCAGTTCAGTAGCAGTTAGCAAAGTTCTGAACGCAGCTCCAGTCATGGAGACAGCATTTATAACACACGTTGCATGTAGATTCCAAGCGCTATCGTGCCGGGCAGCGGCGATTTATGTGGTTGGGGGTTCAAGCGTGCGGTGAGTGGCTGCTAGATGGATGGCCGGTGCCGACGGCCATTCACGACAGCGCTGTCATAATTCACGTGAATTACTCCGATACGCGTATGCTATCGCGGAGCAAATTCCCGCTATCTTAGGCAGGGCTATCGTTTCGTAGTCAGCGCGGTCCTGTATGGCTCGTGCCCATCGTTATTTCTGGGCTGAGGTTTATCCCTGCAAGGTGACAAGTGTCAACTGCTTCATCATGTAATGACTAGTGAGCAGGGGACATTTATGTAAAATGGTGTTCCTTCTAAGTAGTGTGTTTATGCTAAGGCTAACTGGCGCAATCTATCTCTGATGTGCACACGGCATATCCATAGTGATATAATAGCTGGTATCATGTACCCGCATCTAAACAAGACAGCAAGCTCAGGTTATAAAAGCGGCCTGAAACATATTCTATACTATCGAACTAAACTCATTTACTAATCGCACGTCCGTTACTTACCAGACAGCTATAAGCTTCCACTGGCTTGTAACACAAACGGCCTAAACCGGTTGTATCACCTATTGATAGTCGTCACTTGTCAGAGCATAAACTCTTCTGAAGTAGGCTGATTCAGTGTAGACCTATAATTTGGTTGTATAGGCGTGGATGCCTTTTGGCATCTAATAAGGCTAGAGGGGCAGCGAGAGTCTGATTCTAATCTGATCGTCATAGTGTGTGTCGCGTGTTTGTCATTAGACAATTTGCCACATTGTACTTGAAGGTGGGTGCGCAGTGTGTCTCTCCAGTGCTCCTGGTGATGATCATTCACAGAAACAATATACAAGTAAGATATGCACTCGTGAATCAGTCAACAGTGAGTCTACATAACACGCTGAAGTGATGGGAGTTATACCGCCTTACACATGATTTCTATTCATGCTAATCCGACATATATAAAGTCACTCCAGCAGTGATGACGTTAGAATTTAAGAGGAAAGGTATATATAGATACTGTGCACCTATGATCCACCGATCCAATAAACTAAAACTTGGGAAGCAGAAACTGCTATATATAACTACAAAAACTCAGATAATGTATGGCAGCATAGACATGTGTCTGGAGCGGCACGCGCTACCTTGTCCATCATAATATATTAATGCTGATCTGCTATCCGATTACTATATCACTCTTCTTGGCTTATTAGCTATATCCATTTCACTTGCTGGGGCAAGTTTTTTTGATGTAAAAATTTGCACTGCACGGCAGGACACATATTGAAAATTGTGTGCAAAGTTTCATCTTCATTAGGCTAATCTTCATATAAAAATATACCTCATCTGCTTTTTTGAGATACTGGAGTTAAAACTGAACAGCAACAATAACTGATGTTTTGGCAAACCGCATTGGTACATACTTATAATTATTATGATGCTGGAGTGTGTCATCACTATTATTTTACCATACTTAGTGACATAATAATTATAGTGTATATATAAACTACTACAATGTACGTGTTGATTTAAGAGTTTGTTGTGAATATGCAGTGGCAGAGGGGACAGGTGACCAAGTACTGCAGGAAATATGGTCTGCAGAACAAGCTCTATGCCCTGCCAAAAGACAACAAGGAGAAGCATAATCTATACAGGCATCTCATCTATGATGTTCAAAGAGATTTCATCTTTTGCTTCCTTCCCAAGGTCTTTTAATTACTATACAGCTATATCTATGATTTGAAGTTGTCATTGATTTTTTAACACAGGCTGGATGTACCACCCTACGAAGGCTGATATTCGTCATGCAAGGAGCAATTCCACGAGAGAGTGTAGAGTGGGAGAAAGTATCTGAACAAGATTATCTCCGACCAGCTATAATGAAGACCTCATTTCTGAAAAAGAGTCTTACAGATCAGAGGAGACGCCACAAACTGAGGCACTACTTCAAGTTTATGATGGTCCGCAATCCCCTGGAGAGATTGGTATCGGCCTATCGCGACAAGATTGAGCCTCCGCTGGAGTTCTGTGAGCGTGACAAGGAAACTGACCATCTGGTGACTGATATTAATGACGTCGGAAATATAGCTTACTTTCAGGCACACAGACGTCTCATTCTCTCCAAGTACCATCCGCACTCTCTCGTACACTGGGCCAGAGCTAATGGTAGCTACCGTCTCAGTGTTGACTTCCCCACCTACGTGAGGTGGATTGTGGAGACTAAAGACAGAGAACTCAATGAGCACTTTTCCTCCATTCTGTTCAATGCGGCCCCCTGTAGAGTGGACTACCACCTCTTCCTCAACTTCAAGAACTACAGCAGAGACGTGAGGCTCCTCATCCACAGACTCAAGTCCAGCTCTAAGCTTTTTGTGGACCGCGGCTCCCACTCCAGTCCAGGGACTGAGACCCACTCCACTCTCCCTCACTACTACTCCCAGCTCTCAGACTGACTTGAAGAGGAGACTGTTTGTCCGCATGACACGAGAACTGGACTTCTACTACCACCTCTACCCTGAGGAGCAGCTCAGTCACCTGGACCTGTTGGGAGTCAATACATTAGTTGCCCAGCCACAAGAATACTGGACATAGACAACAAAATGCCATTATCTACAACATGCTTTTGGGGAGCTTATACTAATGTATAATATGCTCAGAATTCTGCTTAGCTATAAACCAATGCAAGTAAATGTGCGAATGCATGCTCAATGTATTGAGGGAACATGCTGAACTTTATGCCACGTGATGCGTATGAGCTAGGCAATTAACAGTTCCGTTACCATTATCTTGGAACATTGCTACTGAGTACTGACACACGTAAGAGCTTATGTTTCGTGTTCTTTCAACCACGCACAAGCTGCACTGATGCTTAAACTGACATAGCTAGATAGCTATAGTTGCCCCTGCTGTTTGCACTGCAATCGTCTTCAAACACACAACTTCTGGTGGATATATAACGTGCACGTTAATCCCTATATATTATGGCGGAAGTATATATCTCGCGAGGGGGGCTTCCGGCCTAAGCTTCCACTCTCGACTGCACGGTGAGTCAATCGTGGTGTCCGCTACAGTTCACCCAAGTGAAATCCGCACTGTATATAAACGCAAGCAAAATTTTTTGTTTTAGACCCAGTGCCTGAATGGCTATAATAATTATCTTACTCAATGTTGCACAAAGGTGTTGCATGCTGCTAAAATGAAAAGAAAAAAACTGTGTGAGTGTTGTTAGAGTGGAAGTTCAGCATCAATTCCGAGAATCTGTTTGTGGGAGTCTCTCTCTTCGGGGAAGATGGTATAGTGGAACTCTAGCTCCAGAGCCATCTTCCTGATGACGTCAGTCTTCTGACTCTGGGGGAGCGTGGAGTAATAGAGTTTCATCCTCTCGTCAGTGGACAAAGTGTCGTCGGAATAGTAGCCCTGCCGCAGGTCCGAGTAACTGCCTCCAACCTTGTCTATCAACACCCGAGCATCTCGAGTAAAGTGGCGGAAGTTCCCGTAGAAATCAAACCTTGTCCGACACGGCTGACACATTTCTGAAATCATCAGAAAATGTTCGTCAAGGTACCCATCAACCTTATTCACGACTGGATTATGTGTCCAATAGTCTATGAAATCTGGAAATGATACGTTTACATTCGTCTTTCCTCTCTCCATTTTCCACAGTTGGAACTCCTGGGGATGAGTGGCTCTGTAAATGTCCATCCTCAGCCAGTTGAAGTGTGGAGAGTCGAGTTTTAGCCCGCTGAGTGGGAACCGCTCGACCTTGCTCCGATATCCGCTGGCCAATCTCTCCAGAGGATTGCGAAACATCGTGTACTTGTAGTACGACAGGAGTGCCATCTTTTTGCGTGCCTTGTCTTTGATGGAGATGAAAGAGTTTCTAAACATGGCTCCCTCGAGCGCCCGCTGGTCAACTTCGTCACGAGCCTTGGTCAGCTCCGAGCGGCGAATGAGTCCCTGCCTAACAAAGACGAGAAGCTTGAGGTTAGTGCAGCCGACTTTCGGCACAAAGCAAAAGAGTATCTCGTGCTTCTGGTCGAGGAGGAGGTGGCGATCGTAAGAGTAGACCTCGTTTTGTTTCCCGCCAAGTAAGCGAGGGTCCGGAGTGGGTAGATGGTATTTGACGTCGTCTAGACCAAACCGGGTGCAAAATTCATCCACCTTTTCTCTCTGGTACTGCAACACAGTGAGAAACAAAATTATACTATACATCAGGGTGGGGGTGAATGGGTGTACTATTGCCCACCTTTGCCCTGTCTTCCATGGTTTCAAACACTGGACCAGCCCCAGCAGCGTCTATTGCTTCCTCCTCCAATTCCTCCCTCCCCTTCCCTCTCTCCTCCAATTCCTCCCCCCCCTTCCCTCTCTCCTCCATCACCTCACCTCCTTCCCTCTCTCCTTCATCCCTCTCCTCTCCCTCCACCCTCACCCCCTCCACTTCATCTCCCTCCCTCTCCTCTCCCTCCCCCTCCCTCACCCCCTCCATTTCCTCTCCCTCCCTCTCCTCTCCCTCCCTCACCCCATCTCTCTCTTCTTCCTCATTCTCCACCTTTCCCTCCACAACTCGTCCACCCTCCTCCACTCCCTCGAGACTTTTATCTTTTTCCTCCCTACGCAAAACTACTAGTTGAAAACCTCTTGACTTGCGGAGACCTCTTCTGGTGCTGAGTGCATGGCAGGTATAGGTGGCCTGGTGACCTAGTTCCAGTGTGCTAAAGGTAAGAGTGGCTTTGCCAAACTGCTGTGTGGTTCTAACAGAGGAGAGGAGCTTTTCACGTAGTCTGGGCAGCTTAAACTTCACCTCATCAGCACCTAGTGCATAGAGAGAAAGCATAGATATATACGGAATATAGTATATATCTATGGAGAAAGAGAGAGTGTAGCTATGTGCATTGGGAAATTGCAGAGGAGGCTTTATTAACCCTCAGCGCGCATGCGCAGCGTGGGTTACGGTAGTTGTCCCGTAAGTGTGTCTGTCTGTCTGTCAGTCAGTCTGTCTGTTACCACGTTTTCTGCCATCGCGCGCACGAAATCAGGTAAATAGCGATATTTTCGGGTTCAGTGCTACACTGGGCTGATTTTAAAAAAAGGCGATTTTGGTAAAACTACTGTGTTTTAAAGTTATGGCGTGATAACCAAGTGAACAAGCCAATATGTAAATTAGCACAGGCTTACCTCGACCGCGTCCGTTCGCTCTGTGTGTCTTGAAGGCACAACAAGTTACAACGAAGGGCATGTATCGACTCCCGCATGCTATTTACTACTGTAGCTAGCCCGTGCCAGACTCTCCGCGAGCTACTAGCGGGATACCACGAGTAAAGGCATAAAAAGCCCAGCCCATCAATTAGTGTTACCGCACATGCGCAGTTCGCCGAGGGTTTGCACTTTAGTGCTTTTCATTCTGTAGGGTTAAAGCAGTAAACTCAGCGTCTTCTTCGTCCCTATACATTTCTCTGGGAACGAAGAAGTAAACTCAGCGTCTTCTCTGGGTTCCTATACATTTCTAACTCGTTGCATTACGTAACTTGTCCATCCTCCTCTGGGTGGGGGAATGGATAATGGTGCTAAACCTGTACCCATGCAGTTAAAGTTAAATTAGCACCATCAGTGGAAACAAGCTGGCTTGTCTGGCTAGTACACATGAAAAGCCCTCTATATAGAGAGCCACGATGAATGCAAAGCTGTATGCTAACATGCTATCTTGTAACCTTTCAATTTTTGCACAATACTCGCTACATACATCATGTAAGTGTAGCTTATTTTTGTTGGAAAAGTTTCCAGATGGCAGACCTGTGACAGCGCAGATGAGTTGGAAGGAGTCTCCCTCTCTTAGTACAGGGTTTGTGGGATAGAGTGAAATCAGTATGTCATCGTCAGCTGAATGAGGGGGGAGAGAAAGTCGGTACTTTAGCAACAGACAGTATCCGTGCCAGCTGTCATCTGCTTACATTACTCATGAACAATCAGAATTTCAGGGCTGGCGTAAACCAGACCACTTTTTGTGAGTTTGTGAGGGGTGGATTGACTCGGATGGAAACCCATCTTACAATAGACACCCATATACAATGAGCACACAAGCAGCCACACGTACATGCAGTACAATATTGATCACAGGTTGGCATTGTCTGCATACGAACAACAATAACAAGAACTTATCATTCGCACATAAAAGCAGCCAAATTATTCCGTTGTCCACGTACATTATACGTATAGATCTGACACTGTGGGCGGTAGCTATAAGTAACCTCGCAATACAATATCCTACACTGAATGGAGGTGTAGTAAATGAATGACCTATCTACGGCCCACAGTTTCGACTAGCGCTGGGGGTTAGCGTGAGCAGCTATATTGCCAGGGGCTAATAGAGCGTGAGCTAGCCACAGCTCACCTCTGGGGACCTCTGAACGGACGGGGACCAGCACAGTCTCGTGTCTCAGACTGGGGATCACCAGCCACATAATCACCACAACTGCTACCCCCAGTAGAATAGCATTCTTGTTTCGAGAAAACTTGACCATCACACTAGCTGGACTCCGCAACTTGGAGCTGACTCAGCATAAAATAAGCCACACCTCGTGTTTCCGCACATGCGCACAATGTTTGTGAGCCGAGCAGCAAATCGCAGGAATCATAAACAGCGAGAAGGCGAGGGGTAGGGGTAGGGTTTGACTGGAAAAACATATGTGACCAAAACTCACACAGTAATAATGAGGTGAACACTAAGTGCAGGGCAGAGCGTGTCACGACCAAGGTGTGCCTTGAGCAAAGGTGAAGGTAGTTCAGTATTCACCGATTAGCTGTGTTAGGGGTTGAGCCATTGGAGTGACAATCTTATGCAGGGATAAAAACACTACAATGGATGAAACTGTGGTAATTCTAAGTCAAAGTCGACACCGAAAATCTGTTTGTGGGAGTCTCTCTCTCCGGGGAAGATGGTATAGTGGAACTCTAGCTCCAGAGCCATCTTCCTGATGACGTCAGTCTTCTGACTCTGGGGGAGCGTGGAGTAATAGAGTTTCATCCTCTCGTCAGTGGACAAAGTGTCGTCGGAATAGTAGCCCTGCCGCAGGTCCGAGTAACTGCCTCCAACCTTGTCTATCAACACCTGAGCATCTCGAGCAAAGTGGCGGAAGTTCCCGTAGAAATCAAACCTCGTCCGACACGGCTGACAAATGTGTAAAAACGACATAAAGTGATCGTCGTACTTAAACTCTATCAGATCCGGTTGCAGCCAGTAAGTGATGAAATCGCCGAATGATATTTTCACCGGTCGACTCATACCTTCCTTGGCCCATAATCTATACTGGACGGGATGGAGGTGTTTGAATATTTCCCTGCGAGCCCAGTTGTAATGAGGGGTGTCCTTTAGCACTCCCGTCAAATTGTACCTCTCAATCTTACTCCTGTAGGCACTAACCAGCCTCTCTAATGGATTTCTGACCATTACATACTTGAAATAGTCCAACGAACGCAAATCTTCACGTAAGCTTATTCTATTTCCCTGCAGATTGTTCCTATGTACAACTGCCATGAGTTTCTCCTGGTTTATAAGATCTCGGGCTTTCTCGAGCTCAGAGTAAGGGATCAAGCCCTGACTGGCAAAGAAGAGAAGTTTGAGGTTTGTGCAGCCCACTTTGGGGAGGAAGCATAAGAGGACTCGGTGGGTGTGGTCAAGAAGGTTGTGACGGCTGTAGGCGAGAGGATGGGAGGTGTGGGAGGGGGTGGGGTCGTATCTCGAACAGTAGTCATCCACTGCAGCGTTCTGAAACTACAAAACGTAAGATGTTAATTAATAATATCCCGCCATGGATATCTCCTTAATTAAATAAATAAGCAAACATATAACACCTAGTATTATAACCCCCATATAAAAATTCTTAGGGTCTGGACATGTATCAACAGGTCGTGATGAGTTAAGTGTGACAAAAAATGTTTTCGTCACTACAAAAATGGCATTAGTGTAGCTATTACTGCATGAGTGGAAATGTTTCCTCACCAGAGAAACTTTATCATAGTCCATCTCTCTCCTCTCTCTCGTTGGTGATTACTCTCTACTTGCTGTCCTGTGTCTCTTCTCCATAGGCCCTCCTGTAGTGTATGAGTACAACACAACCGTGTTCAGTGTAATATTATAATAATACTGAGTCACGAAGTATGTATCTACATGCTGGTTGGGTTTGAAAAAACGTCTGTGGAGTGCTGGAATCTGAGGTCATTATTTGTCGTATATCAATCTCACACCATTTTCACGTGTGCAGGTAAAGGTTTATATAGTGGTATATATTGGTGGCAATAATAGAGTGAAAAATACAGTGGCCGAGAGGTCAGTAGAAAAAATAATGTTCTGTGGCTGCAGTGCGTTTCTGTTTCCTATCGTCCTGTTAGTCTTGTACCTCCTGCACTGTGAGGCCAGTCTGGGTTTGTGGTGATGATGATGAGGTAACCCCTGGGTCATTGGCGTCTGATGAGTTCTGGTGTGATATGCTGGTGCTGGTGATGAGTGCGGAGTGAGAGGAGGAGAGGGAGGGAGGAGAGAGGAGGAGGGAGGACTGTATTCAACACCTGAATGTACAAAGGAAAAGGTATTCAGAATTGCTCTATAATGATGTCTTTAGAGGAGATACTTTAAGCCCCCTCCCAATGTATGTATATAAACCACACACTCACTAACTAACAATACATTCTCTAGTCAAGTAACACTTGACCATCACTGGCCAGAGATTACTTCATAGCAGTTCTGCCAGACAACGAAGAAGAATAATGTATATACTGTTTTACAAACTGAAGTTTGTAATTTATGTTTAATAGGTGTGGAATGAACGCACCTATTGTTTCAACGTTGAGTTTCACACTTAGTTGCAGTTCCTGTGCAGACGGCCCCACTGCCTGGCAGGTGTAGAACCCGGCGTGACCCCTGGTCGCTCTCTCTACCGCCATTACTGCTCCTCCCCTAAGGAGTGTGACGTGAACAGAGGAGAGGAGGGAGGGAGAGAGGGAGGAGGGAGGCTGGAACTGAGTCACCGATGCTCCTGCTTACAGAGAGAGAGGGAGACAGTGGTAAACAGATTAGCCATAGCAGTTGATTGTGTTAAGGTGTGTGTATACAGTAAATGGTAAAAGTGCAGCTGAGAACTCCTTGTCAAAAGGACAGTTTTAATGAGCACAGTGTGTCTTTAATGTTATACATTGGTCCCACTGTATATACAAAGGCCTGCAAGAAACAAAAGAGGCTATAATGTGGTTACAGGTCTACAGGTCTTCGGCAAAGCAAGAGTAATTTGAACTTTATGCCTTCATGACACATAGCCTTGTCACTGTGAGTTGACCTATTGCTGAGTTTTCTCATAACATCCAGGGCATGTTCAAGACCAAAGGTTTTGGGTACAGATGGCTGGCAAGTCATATAATGTCTTGAGGTTTCATATATACTACTGACAGAAGTGTTCTGTAAGTATATGTAAAGGTGTTGGGTAGTAATCTGTAAGTATGTAAAGGTGTTGGGTAGTAATCTGTAAGTATGTAAAGGTGTTGGGTAGTAATCTGTACCTGTGGCAATGCAGACTAGTTGGGCAGTGTCCCCCTCTCTGACCACTGGTTCCTCAGGGAGTATAGTGATTGTCAGTCCACCTACTGTTAGAGGAACGTACATGGGTGAACGTACATGGGGGTGAACACGGTAAGGGTAGCAACATCAGACGACTACCAACAATCAGATACATGTATACAATCAATGTATATACACCTAACTCAGCTATGTATGTAGCTACACTGAATGATCGCATGGTAGTGGCTTGTGACAGATTATTATCGGAGAGCCTGGCAAAGGAGATCTAGCAAGGCAACAAATTAAATACACCCAGGACAACTCTTTTCTCCAAGGAAAAAGAATAGCTGCAATGGTAGGATTCGAACCCACAACACTCTGTTGTCTAGGTGAGACTCTACCAGCAGAGTTACCATGGCAACTCGTAGATGTGTAGAAAAACCATAGTTCATAGCATACCCCATGTACACCTATAATTGGCGAGAGAAGCGAGCCTACCCAGTCATTATGTGACAGCTCTGTCGGGCACTACACTTACCGTAATATGCTGTACATGATTCTAAATACACGCGAAACATTGAACTGGCTCACGTGCTCGCCAACACTCTCAGTACCAATTATAACGGTATATACCCCCGACCTACTGTCGGGAGGTTCTCCAGGAATGACCAGCTGAACTGATCCCTCCTGCACTGCTCTGAACCAGAGAGCCAGAGACACACAACACAGGAACACCAGCAGGAACGTCCAGCACAGCTTGCACACCTTGGTCCTCAGACAACTCTGAACCATGACCTGCCATTGTGCCATACATAACACACTGGGTTTCCAAATGCTGAGTATTACTATACACCGGGTTTTTAAGGGCTGGGGTGGCATTGTTGGGTCTTGTTTTGTCGCCTATTCCCCAGTTTGGAGCCAGACCCGGCATAATGACGTCTTGCTAACGAGTCGCGGCCCACTATCCCAGCGGTGTGTATACGACGTACTGCAGGCTGATATGTCTCGGTCTCTGTCTATATCGCCTCTCCAGTAGCCTGTCGGCCATTCGCTAAGTCCCACTGCTCCTGTCAGCCTCAGTCGATCCCGATAACTCCGCCGTGTTGTTCCCTCTCTCGATCGATCGAAGGGGCTCGGTTGGGCCACGCCTCCTTTTACTTTACAGGCGCATGCGCGTAACGTATACAGTCGTGCCGTCAAAATTTCTGCATAGCAATTTTAAAATTTTTGCGTATTTAGAACATCAGTGCAAGTCACAACATTATACATACATTCAGCCGACTAGGTGGGCTCGCTCGCTTGGCTTCTGAAAGTTCAACTGAAAATTATATAATACCTCAGGTCTATAATACAGGATCAAGAAAGCATCATCTCACAAAGAAAGTATAATACACATCAGAAAAGCGTCCTCGTTATGGTGGGTGTGGCCTAGTCATAGTCATGTGATTCGGTGCCACCTCTTCCGAATCCCTTTGGACCAAAGACAGCACTGTAGCACGGTAGAGTGCAGTAGGGTTTGCCTTCGTGCTGGGGGGAGAGAGGGAGAAAGAAAGAAAGAGAAAGAGGAAAGCGGAGAGGAGAGAGGAGTGAATAACCGGAGGGAGGGAGAGATGGAGGGAGAGATAGATGGACAGGGGGAACAGTGGTGAAGGTTATTATACCAATGCTGCCAACTCAATGCCCTACATAAAGCACGCTCACTAAAGACAGTTTATTATACAGAAGATAGTTGACTTTGTCCTGACGGTTGCTTTCTAGAGTTTGCAGCTCTGTTTTACTGACGGCATAACATCGAGAAATGGCCCAAGCAGAAAATGAAGCTTGCTATGACTGACTACTGTGTAAGGTTACTCAGTTCAGTCACTGCATAGACCAGTGAATGCAGACAATAGCTCTACAAATGGTGTGTATAACTGTATAGTGTACCTCAGAGTGCTGGCCAGGTGCGAGCGTCTTCTTACACTTGGTACACTTGAGACAGAACGAGTGCCAGTCTTTACCAAGACTCGTCTTTCTTTCAGCTGAAAGACACATGATGAAGAAAGTACAGCTACAAGGGACACCTTGGGAACATTCCTATACAGTGGAACCTCCAAGATAGGGACAACTTCTATAAAAAGGGCACTTGTTTCAACCCCATGCTAATACTTTAGTGTATTATTTGACCTCTGAGATAGGGACGACCTCTCTACAAGGGACGGAATTGTTGGCCCCATAGTGTCCTTTGTTCGGAGGTTCCACAGGTGATCAAATATCCCGAGGTTCGACATATTATAAACATTTACAACACTTGAAGATATGTCCATTGTTTGGAGGGCATAAAGTACTTTGTGGGAGGTTTGAAAGGTGACGGCAAATATTTGTTATATAATTCTGCAAAAAAACAGTGTAAATTAACTTGTGTGCAATTAATGTATGTCTTCTTTCCTACAGGATGTTGAGACTGGTCGAGAATGCCAACAGTTGCTATATACTGTGTGTAACATAATGTAGGTAAACAGTGCTTCAACATGCCCAAATGTAGGCATGAAGAGTCACTGCATTCTCCACTCCTTATGCCCACATACTGATTACATAATGCAGAATTACATATACAATAGTAAGTGGTTTGGCTGAGCTGACAGCAAATAGATAGGTATTACTGCAGAACGTATCGCCTTAGCAACAAGGCAACGTACAATGTCATACTAATTCTGCATCAAAGTTCAGCCGTAGGTTGTGTGTATGTGAAGGCATGTCGGTTGGGTTGGGGTGCAAATGTAGCCAGCAAAGGTTTGCATTGTACGTGAACATAGGAACTACAAAATGGTTACAAATTACAGCTAAATGGTGAGTGCAACGGAAGGAAGCATCATAGTACCGGACAAATTAAAAACAAGTGTAACCTTAGCTATCACTAGCTGTAATAGGTGCATATAGCAATTTCTAAAGCTGCTAATATGCCCTTTTTTCTAGGCTCTCCGACCCTGCACACACCTATTCTTCTATACCCACGACAAACTGTCCAGTAGCTTTGCACGTACAATAGCTACAATCACGACCACACCCTGCTTATTGGCGAGGACCCGTTGCTCCAGCTAAAAGCTTTTTCGGGTCCCTACTGGAATCACACACATACACACAGGTAGTTGGGACTAAAGCTTACCGAAATACACTGTTTTGCCACATGCGGGACACTTGGACATCTTGTTCCGCTGTCCACCTAATCAGCCGCCAAAGAAACTCGCAGAAACACCACACCCACTGGATTACTTTCGAGATCGCGCATGCGCATTATCCCTCCGATAATGCGCGCGCATGCGCATTATTTTTATGGTCAACTAACTATTACGAGAACATGTTCCAGGAGCACTGGGAGGGACAACTCACAAGTAGTGAGTTTGTAGCTGCTGCACCTGTATTACTGTCATAATGTGAACCGACAATGTGAGCCCATGAAACACTATGGACTACTCAGGTAGTGATAAGGGTCGTATAGCACCCCATGTCAACTCCCTCGTCAAACTCCTCCAGTCACACCTCTCACATCACCGCTTCCCCGAGGCCACGCCCATCTTGGAGACCCTGGCCCTGGCAACCGACAGGGTACCTGGTATTGTCTGGAGGGTAAGCCGACTATGTTATGTAATGTCACGTAAGACCCTGTTACATTGATTGACCTTCCCTCTCATTTTGAGACATACTGTTTCATGTATGCAGAGCAGAGGACCTTTATCTGGTCTGGTGTATGTATATACTGTGTAGGGTGGAAGAGAGGTTCTGCTCCACTCTGGAGACTACTCTCATGCTCTGCAGCTCTACCGCAGTTTCTTTAAAGTTCAGCAATGGGTACGCTTCCCTTACTTCCCACTGCTCTCAGTCTTCTAGCAGGCATCAAGTCCAGTGCACTACACACTGAACTGAGCTAAAACTCCCAGACTAAAGCTGGTGTTCCCTGCTCCCTGCTACGTACTACATATAGGGCAATTGAAGTGTGCCGTCCTGCTTCATAAAGGAACGCAGAATTGTCTACAACACTGTTCTAACTCCACCTTTCCCCCTCCTCTCTCCCTCCTTCCCTCTCTCCCTCCTTCTACCTCTTCCCTCCCTCCCTCCTCTCTCCCTCCTTCCCTCTCTCCCTCCTTCTATCTCTTCCCTCCCTCCTCTCTCCCTCCTTCCCTCTCTCCCTTGTTCCCTCCCTCTTCCCTCCCTCCTCTCTCCCTCCTTCCCTCTCTCCCTCGTTCCCTCCCTCTTCCCTCCCTCCTCTCTCCCTCCTTCCCTCTCTCCCTCTTTCCCTCCCTCTTCCTCCCTCCTCTCTCTCCTCTTCCCTCTCTCTCCTCTCTTTCCCTCCCTCTTCCCTCCCTCTTCTCTCCCTCCTTCCCTCTCTCCCTCGTTCCCTCCCTCTTCCCTCCCTCTTCTCTCCCTCCAGCGTATAGAAACTCTCCTGGAGACAAGTTTCTTCACAGCCAGTCACGGTCACCTGGACGAAGCATACGACTGTCTCTCCAGCCAGCTCCAGGTTAACCCCTTCAGGTCCCACCCTCTCTGCCACGGCTACTGCGGCCTCTACCAGTTCCTCCTCCACAGACAGCATCAGACCTCCACCACCACCAGGATTAAGACTGAGGTCTGTGGTTATATAATGCTTGCAGAGCATACATTACTTCGTCCAATATATACGCAGTATTATTAAGAACACCAACTTTAACTCTAATCCGCTAGACATTATCAATTCTCTTGCTTGTATGGTATGATGATAAGTATAACTATCTTGAAACAGCTATATAGCTGTCCAGAGCTCCTCCACATTTTCTCCATAATCACTATTTTGTCATGAATATTTTGAAAACCACAACCACTATTTTTGTGGAAAAGGTAGTCGGGACATGAGTGCTTCTCTACATATGAACAATTTCTTTGAAGGAGAAAACTTGGGTGATTCACATTATGTAGAGAAAGCATTCGTAGATTGTTTGTCTTGTTGCAATTCCCTGAAAGCTTTTGCTGTGAAATCTGTTTCATATTATTATGGCTCTCAAACTGTGACATTTTGACATTCTTTATACTGGTTAACTAAATGGTTTTGCCTAGAAATTTGTTGCTATGTGTGGTATGCTTAATAGCGTATTGAGTTCATGTCTATGAATGTACAAGTAATCGCTTGTTTTGGATAACTCGAGTGGGCTTCCTGCAAAATGTAGGTTTATTGGATGCAGAGGTTTTGTAAGTGTGTATTCACTGGCATGGATTTATAATGAGGAAAGAAGCAAATTGGTCCCTTCACCTGCACTAGTGGCACAATGAAGATTTCTACCAGTATCAAGCCAAATGCCCTCTCTTAATCCAGGCAAGCCTGATTCCTAGTTGCTCATATGACTTTTAAAGGGGCTGGTTGTCTTGCACAACGTGGTTATCCACATAAAGTCATTGATCTACAGCATAACAGGGTATGTCGTGTGTCCCAGGAACAGGGAAGGTTTTGTATGTCTTATTGTGTAGGATTTGAGCCCTCCCGGCCGAGCTGCCATGGTAGTTGTAGAGCACCCTGCTTAACCCTTAGCAAGCCACGGATATATAAATATGTCCAGAGCCTCCATAAACCCATAAGATTTTATATGAGGCTATCTGAAGGGTTTTTTAAACTGTGTAGTGACGAGGGTTCGGTTCCCACCCAGGGAAGGTCTTGTTGTCCTGGGTGTCATTAATAATGTTTGCTTTGCACTTGCTGCCTTAATGTCTCAGTTACGAGGAATTCACCCTATTGCCGTGACTGCACAGGAGGAAGCAGCTGAAGATTCAACTCCTCACATCACTCTCGCTCTCAAACATCTTCAGACTGTGCAGACCATTGATGCCCAGTTGCCCGATGGGACGGGCAATCTCGACCTCTTTGTCAAACTGTTGGCTGAGGTACCTATGTATACCATCTACATATATACCTGCTACTGTTACAACTTTAATCACATCCCTATAGTTTTGGGAAGCAGACGTAACCGGAATATAGCCTTTAGCCACTCGATCCGCGTGAATGCATGAGTATTATCCAGTGTAACAGTGTCAGACATAGAGCAATAATTAATCAGAAGTCTAGTAGACTTGCTTCACATACCTATTATTGTAGAAGTGTGATTCATTACGTCTTAGAATATGTTAACAGCAGCCCTACCACTTGGCTATAGACCTTAACCAAGAGCTTAGGCAAAAGTACATTAGACAGGGGACATTAATATCAGTGTTACCTGCCAGGCACAATTCCTTACATGCACACAATGGGTGTAAACATATAATTATATCTCATGCTGTCACACTGCAAAAGTTCATTTGTGAAAAAACATGTGCAGCGTATGTAGAGCAGTTCAAGACTTTTTACTTGCACTTTCATCATTGTGTTCCCGGGTGTATACAGCTACTGGAGGAGCAGGGAAAGATTGAGGAGGCTCTGGCATGTCTGGTCCGGTACTGCCACGGACATCCTCTGAGACTCAACCCAACAAGGTCCCATCTCTAAAGACACCTCTAACACCGTAGCAGCCACAGACACATAATGTGTCCAAGTTCCTATGAATTTAGAGCTAGGTACTAATACTTTATACACGGTTTTCTTCTTTTTTGCGACAAATGCATTAGGCAGCCGAGTGCGTTATTGCATCATCCGAGTGCACCACATTGGAAATGCATGGCGTCCAAGGTTAAAAAGGACACCTCTCTAATATTGATTATATACTATAGTACGTAAACGATGGCTCACTAATACAGACAGTTTTTCTGTCCCATTTGTTCCCAGATAAGTCGGGTTCTACTTTAATTGTTCTAGTTCTCTTTAATACCTAAACACACTAATGCATATGTAGACATGTTTACTAAATCTCGTAGTAACTCGCATCGAGTTTACTAAGTGCCTGCGGTGCCGTTTCCCCGCACAACCTGCGCAGACTTAAACAAGTGTGCATCAATTGCTGTACGTACTAAGTAATTTAGGCATCTTGTCTGTTAATATTAACGTGCTTTAGAAGCCCTCGGGCCCTTCACGCAGCGTCGCTCACTGCACTCAGAACGCCATAACACAAGGGCCCTCGGGCCGCTGACAACAAGCGTTTTAGTGGAGACACCAGATGACATGCAAAACATCAATTAATCATTCTTGACATGCCATACTCTAACTGTAGGGATCCTCGCTGTGCATCGATGCAGACAAGAGTGTACCAGAGTTTTAATTAGTAGCGGTCATCCAGTAACCAATCCTTGTGGTTAATGAGGCGTGTTCACAACCTTTTACACAACATGGTTATGACGTTAATGGTGGGTGTCCAGCATCATAATCCCTATGATTTTTTTGTTAATGATGAGCCAGTGAAACTGCCACTCACAGCTGCTGTGTGGCGACACAATTGGAGACAGACACCCACATGCTCATGAACACACGCAAACCAACCAGAATTAATCCTCGCTATGCATACCATGCTAAGATTAAACAGCTACAAATCCTACAGGTTAATGAGTCATATTCACCCCTTTTTCAACCAATTATAGTGCTAGCAGTATGCAGGTATAATTATAGGTCTGGCAATTAGTACTACAACTAGAAAAATGTTTTTTGGCGAGCGAGCGCGAGCAGTTGAATATTTGCACGTATTTAAAATCACATACTGCAGACGGTCACTAGTACATCACACGTCCAGGCAAACACCCCAACATCTACTGCATTGGCAGCTCTGAGACAGTCGGTTTCCCAGTACGGCTGCAGTGTGAGTGGACACACAGTGGTTCGCCCTTGACTGCATGCATGAACAGCGCGGGTTGGTTTGTGTCTGTGGGTGTGCATATAGGCTGCTTTAAAACTATCAATATAGCTAGGTAGCAGAATGCTCTGCAACCATGCTGTACGGAGGAATGACTATACTTTTTAACATCCAGGCTATGCGGAGGATGAATTTCCCAGCATTTAGATGTTTCAGTTGACACATTTCCAGTGAAATGAGCATTTGTGGGATGAGTTTAGTTGCTAAAGTGCGCCATATGGTCAGCTGTCCATTATGTGTTAGTGAGCTGTTGCTAGGGAAGAAGACCTGCACTGCAGAAGCCTAGCAATGGTTGCATATTTTTACATTAACAGTGAGGGGGGCAGCGAGCACTTGTATCCCTCAGGAAAAGGCAAATTATTAGCAGAGAAGTGTAGTTCAGCAAATCTCATAGTAATGTTTCCTTGACATGCAGGTGCACGTAAAATTGGTGAGAATAGGGTGGTATTAGATGCCTATGCCATTGATTATTTCTGTACAAGAAGCTTTACTATTAAAATATTGAGCTATAAGATGCTGCAGTAGCTATACTCATACATTTCAATTGTGTACAAATGCAAATCTTATGATTCAACCAGGGGGTCCTGAAGGGAAATGTGATCAGTTGATTACACTCTGACACGAGATTCTGTCACGCTAGGTTTGTGTGTGATTTCTTGAGGGAGCATCACCCTGACAACACGGAGGCAAGGCTGCGTTACCTTGGCGACCTGGTGAAGCTGGATGAGAGCTGCCCTGAAGTCCTGGAATTCCTGGAACTTTCAATTGACAAAGGTATGACAATCTCACTTCCAGCTAGCATGCTGTAATTGGCTATGCATTAGACCACTAGCAAACAAATTTAGGTGTTTTTGTACATGCAGTTTTATACCTAGTCAACTATTGCTCTTTAGGACTGTAGATTTGCACCCAACTGAACTGTTGGTAAATTATTATAGGGAGACTTGCACTGCAGAAAGCTTAATTAATGGTACATCCTTGCAGTACGTCACAGTAAAGACACTCATGCTAAACCCATGCTAAACTCATTTCCCCATTATTCTTCTTGTCATTCTTGTTTAGACTCTCCAGATCTCCCCAGACTGTTCCCTATTCTCCTCCGTTTCCTCGACTACCCTCACAATGCCACAGAGACTGACGGCTGGACTCTGCTGGACACACTGCAGCGATTGTGGTAAACATACATCTGTATGTATATACTTGCTTCCTTGACTATTGCCGCAATTTGATACGCACGAAAGATTGCAGTGGCGGCTATGGTCTTAGTTATATGGCTGCTGTTTGAAGGGGATCAGATCACTTTACATATTAAGTAATATTGCTGACTTACGTATTCATAGTATGTTCATAATAATATTATTGCAGGCCACAGTATGTGCAGTGTACCGAGTGGAAGAGCAGGCAGAACTGGTGGCCAAGAATATATCCTCAAACTAGCAACCGAGAACCAAATTGATACACACTAATTATCAGCTACTGCATGTAAGATAGTGTGTCTAGTCCAGCAAAGCAAGAAACGCTCAGTGATGCTGCTGCCCGTTAGAGCAAGAAACGACATGCCGTGGAGCACGTGACAGCCCAGCCCATCGATATTATGTGGCTTATTGTGCATGTTTAGTGCATAGTGGCTGTATAGCAGCGTGAGCAGTAAAATTTTCAAGGAAGTGGAGGTCGAATAAAATATGCACGGGGGTGGCTCTTGCATCCATTTCCCACCCAGACCTCCTGGAGGACTATTTCATGTTTTGCTCTAGTCTCATGAACCAGACTGAATTTTCCTTCCTGACACACATGTTACAAGAAGCTATGATTTTTCCAGGAATTGTAGCACAAAGGTATAACAACATCTGAAGGGACACAAAAAATAATGATAAAATAAGCATTTAAAATTTGGAGCAAGATACATAATTATTAAAAATGCTTGTACACATACAGGGTGTATATAATGACCATAATGTTCACAAAGAATTATAATCAGGTTAATTAACTAGTACATAGCTAACTCCAGTGTACGTAGCTTCAAACACCAATTGTCAATTGACTTCTTTAGGATTTGTTTCTTCTCTGTCGTTCTGTTGAGGTTCATTTTCTTGCACCGTCATTTCCGTTGCTTCATTCCTTCCAATCACAATGCTCGGATCATCCTCACTCGCTCGAATGCCTCCTTTCTGCCTGGATTTCTCCACTCCTTTGTTCTTCGTTGCAACTAGTACAATGGCGACGACCAGAACGACTGCAATGCAGAAGGTTACAAACAACACGACGCCGATTGCTATACCTGCTATAGCATTCTTTGCTAGTCCGTCATCTTCTCCATCGTCTGAGCCAGTCCGAGGCATTGATGTGCTGGTCGGACTGGGTATTTGAGTTGTTAATGTGCTGGTCGAGCTGGGTACACTTGTGTGCGTACTTGAAGTGCTAGGTACACGTGTGGAAGGAGGGACGTACTCAAATTGCAGAGCCTTATTGAATTCTTCCACCGTCCAGAAGAAGTTTCCGCGATTGCAGATTCCATCAGGCGGTGGAGGTTGCCTCTCTTCAGCCTCGTTAATTACCAGGACCATCCCCTCGCTCTGGTGGGGAGCCATGTGACAGTGGAGGAGCCACCACCCGGGGTTTGTGGAGCGGAAATGTATGATCACGTATCCGAGTCCCGGGAGCATTACGGTGTCTTTCACGATGGTGAACTCGTCCAGCGTTACTTGCGGCTCGGCCCCAGCCTTCCAGTCGGGTTTTATGCACACTCTGTTGCTACTGCCAGGCCCACACTCTATGTCCGATGTTGGTGAGATAGACTCTCCAGTTGTTTCATTGTAAGACCCGTAGCCAGTTGCTACCACATGGAAATGGTGACCGTGAAGATGAATAGGGTGTGCGAACCTGCGATTGATCCTCCTACGCCCAGCAGAGCTCAACACGAATCTGATTGTCTTGTTGAAGGGGATGTCAATTTTGTGGGTACAGAAGCAACCGTCCTTGCAATCATCGTTGGGGTCACATAGAGTGGAGGTATCCAAACTGGTGGGGTCTATCAGTGGAGACATTGGTGGAGAGACAAAAGTCCTAGTGTTGATGGAAGCCAAACGTCTTTGTCCTTCGAAGGCAAAGTTTAGGAAATACTGCTCGTCGTAATCAGCGGATGGTATTAGTTCGGGAGTGGTGGGAAAGAAAAGCCTGAGCTGGTAGACATTCACACAGTTGATGTTAAAGGTTGGATGGTAGTTTTGAAACGGACAGTTTACTACTTTACACGGAGACTCGGCGGTGCAGGACTTGGGGATTTCGGTAATGCTGGAGTACTCTGGACCCATTGGAATCGGATTTGCCCCGTCGTAATGAAGAATAGCGCGGCCCTCGTGACCAGGGCAGGGGGTCGTATGGAGGAAGAGGAATTGGGTTGATGAAGAAGTTCACTTGAGCTTCCAGTGTCTCTGTTCTGATCCAGAAGTCACTCTGACCAGTCTGGTTGGCAGTGACGAGGACATCGTACCTCTCACCAGCCTGGATAATGACGTAGTCTGCCTCCACTGGCTGTATGTAGTTACCGTCCGTAGCTATCACTGTCAGTCGGTGACCGTCGATCGAGAAACGAAAGCCAAAGAGACCCGAAGCTCCCACAAGTCGGAAACGATAGGTGTTTCCACTTTGCACCGAAAAAACTTTAAGTCTCGAGTTGTTGTAGTTCAACTCTCTGTGTTTCCCGAGTCCGTTGATGAGGGCAGACCAGAACTGAACCGTCCCTATTCCCGTCCCATCCACTCCTGCCGACCCGAAAACAAAGTCTCCATGAAGAGGGACAGAGTCAATGAGAATTGATGGAGAGTTTTCGCGTCTCAGTTTAGAAAGGCCCTTCCAGAAGGCGGTTGTGGCTTCTTCCCTCTGCCAGTCCATTAGGATGACTGTGTGCTCTTCTGGGTTGTCAATGTGATGTATTGGGTACCTCTCTGCCGTGACAGAGCGGTCTTTGACGACTAGGCCTCCGGACATACCGTCGGCTCGTTGGAAACCGCTGTGAGAGTGGTACCAGAAGGTCCCCGCCTGACTCGGCTTGAAGATGTACCTGAAGCTTGTCCCCGGCGCTATCGGACACTGCGTAATGGTATCAGTTCCGTCCATCCATGGAGTGTTCACTTGAGTGATGCCGTGCCAGTGGATGGTGGTAGATTCGGTACGAAGCATATTCACCACGTTCACCACCACCGTCTGGCCGTCGTACACGACTAGCGTGGGTCCCGGCAGCCTCCCGTTTATACCGACGAACGTGCGGTAGGTAAGGCCATCCGCGGTGTTGGCTTGAGTGCAGTTAGTAGCGTTGCAACCGGTTAGGTCGGGAGAGAACGGTACATGCTCCAGTTCTCCTAGGTCGTTTATAAAGTACGACTTGCCCGCAGAGCCCTGCGGTGTATCGCGGACGTAGCGGGTGAAAGTGATGAGTCGCTGGACAGCAAACTCGAAATAGCATACGTCGTCGGATTCGGGGCAAGAGCAAGCCATCATGTCGTCATTGCAGTATTGGTTGCTGGTCTGACTCGCTACGCTAGACAAAACCAGAAGAACTGCAAATAGCCGCAGTACAATTTGCGCCTGCATCGTCACCGACTATGGGTGTCCTTGTTACTTTAACGTTTATGTCTTTCACGGCTAGCTTTATACCTGCATGGTAGCACGCGACTCATCATTTTTGCAGTTATGTAATAGCGAAACGAGCCATCTGAATCGGTTGCCGTCCGGATGCCTCAGCCGTAGCGACACCCTGCGTTCGTGCCCTGCCTGGGATATAGATACGCATGCGCAAAGGTTTGGGGCCACGCGCGGTTAGCTATGGTAGCCACGTGGATGACACCACTTCCCCCTCGTATTTCTGCGCACGCGCACAAGTCGCAGTCGCGCCGAACGCGCGGCTATTACAGTGGGTTCTCTGCTACGACCCTGCAAACGTTTTGCTTTGAAAAATGTTCTCTAAAACAGTTGTAGTACTTGCGTCTCTATTGTTTGTTGAAGCGTCGTGCTCTGTCTTTATCAATGACGAGAATGTCGAGAAACTGTTCTGCTCTCCTGAACGTCTCTGTGGGGGCAGTGGGTGAGTCAGTCAGTGGATCATCATGGCTGTCACGGTGTCCTCCCTGGTTTGCTCCTGACAACTTCACGGGCACCTGCAGGTCTGGACCTACACTAGACGGTCTCATTCAACAGGATCTCTCTCTCATGCAAACACGTGTCATGCAATGCTACTGCATGACCGAGTCAAATGGCAGTTTAACTGTTGGCTTTTGCCGACATAAATGTTTGCTTAGAACAGCTTACTATTCACTTGCTTGCAACGTATCCGAGCTACAAAACATATCTTGTCCAGTTCGCTTCAACAGACATGGGTATCTCTGCAGTCAGTGCATTGGTGGATATGGATTTCCAGTGTACTCATACTCTTTTGGCTGCGTAAAATGTGAAAATTTCAAGTATAACTGGGTGAAGTATCTTGCAGTTGCATATGTCCCCCTCACTTTCTTTTACATTTTTGTCGCTTTATTCTCAATTAATTTCACATCTCCAATGCTGAGCGGAGCGGTAATGTTGTTTCAGATAGGAGCTAATCCCTTCCTAACGATGCTGATTGTTTACAGCGAAAGCGATACAAGATTTGGTCAGTTGGTTAAGTTTGGGTTTACTCTTGTTTCATTATGGAATCTGGACTTTTTTCGAGCATATTACACATTTTGTCTGCATCCAAATGCAACTGAGGGTGACATAATGGCACTGGAATATGGAATAGCTATGTTTCCAATTGTTTTGATATTCATTACTTATTTATTGGTCAAACTTCACGATCATAATTACAAGTTGATAGTCTGGGGATGGAAACTGATTCGACTGGCTTTAAAACCACTCAAATACAACGTTAAAACTTCCCTCATTGAAGTTTTTGCATCTTTTATCTATCTCTCATCTTCCCGGCTACTGTTGAATTGTGTGACTTTCTTCATACCTTCTATCGTTTACAACTATCAACAGATATTACCCAATCGTCAAATGATGCTGAAAGTTGAATATCGTGACTTACTTTCTAAAAGAGAATACTTTGGTGTGAGTCACCTTCCATATGCCTTGCTAGCCATTGTTTTATCAACGGCATTTTTTATCATGCCCATGGTACTGCTTTTTGTTTACCCATTTTCTTGGTTCCAAAGAACTCTGAACAGAGTTGGGGGGAACTCACTCACACTGCGTACATTTGTTGACGTTTTTCAAGGCAGCTACAAAGACGGCACCAATGGTACAAAGGACTACAGGTTTTCAGGATTGATTCTTCTTGTACCGATGACAACTTATCTAGCCTTTGCTCTCACCAAGTCAAGTATGTATTATCCCATTTCCTGCCTCTGTATTCTTCCTTATCTTACTCTACATCTTTCCCTTAAACCCTTCAAAAGACAGGTTCATAACCACACAATGACAGGAATGCTAATAGCCTTGGAATGTTTGTTGCTGAGTGTAACGTTCAATAATTTTTCTTATCGACCTTGGTATCCACACAATGTCTCAGAAAACAGCGCACTTCCTCTTGCTATGGTGACAATCTTGCTGTGTGTTCCAGCTGCCTACCTTTTTGGATTAGGTTGTTTTCTGTTTTTCAAGGTTTTTAAAGATATTTTAGCCAAAATGGTTGGTTTGTAATTATCGTTCCATTTGTATACTTTCTATAATACTTTGATAACGCCGTCGTTGATGTCTGGCAGCCCTGGTGTTATTAACCCTCGGCGCGCATGCGCAGCGAGGTTTACGGTAGTTGGTCTGTGTGTGAGTGTGTGTGTCCGCGACTATTCTCGCACTACAGGCTACGAGGCGGCTTATGAGCGATACCAACAGCTTTTAAAAATGCGATTTTGCTCGTTCGAGAGCGACAAACTGACACGGTCGCGGACAGCGTTGCTTGGCCCAACCCATCAATAAGCGGTGCGCATGCGTGTATTAGACGCGATCAACTAACTGGCTCACCTCGACCTGATCCGCTTGCTCTGTGTACCTTGGAGCACAGGAAGCCACAGCGAATGGTGTGTATCGATTCCCGCATGCTATCTACTACTGTAGCTAGCCAGTGTCAGACTTTCCGCAAGCTACTAGCGGGAGACCGCGAGTAAACGGCAATAGCCCAGCCCAGGCCCAGCCGCTGTATATACCGCGCATGCGTAGTTCGCCGAGGGTTTGCACATTATAGCGCAGGCGCGTGGGCAGCAGTGCTGCGATTCCCGACAGTTACTTTCAGCAACATGCTGAGCCGCGGGAACCGGTTGTCGTGAGATGGTGGCTGCATGTATGCATCATGCAAAATTTCACGGTAGCCACGTGCAGGGCCTGTCACATAATTATTCGTCGTCGATATGACACCATGCACTTCCACTCATTCTTCTGTGCACGCGCAGTCGGTTCTCTGCTACGACCCTGCAAAACGTTTCACTTTGAAATAATGTTATGAACTATTAGTGTTAAACTATAGAGTGTTAAAGGATTGGCCAGGAGTAGCATTGCCTCTTCGCTGGATGCTGCTGGTTAATCAAGTTAAGGAAGTGTCCAGACTCCATTAGGAGGGGGCGAATGTTTCTCAGAACTCGACTTGTAGGGTGAGCTGACTGGAGCTGTGCAACCAGTTGTCCCACTGTGTGATGCAATATTTGTTCAGCTCTGTTGCAGGTGGAAGAGTCTTTCAGCAAATTTTTAAGAGTTGCTGCCTCGAATGGTCTTCCCTCTGTTAACAATATACGAAGGATCCGGCATCCAAGCCTGGAGGATAATCCTGGAAAGATGAGAGGAAACACAGCTTTAGGTCCTGAAATCTGGTATATATAACAACAGTGTTACGGGTTCAGAGTGGACACAAAATCAACTGTGTACATAGCTAGTATGCCACACTATCTACCTCTGAACCCCTCGGCCTGGCGTTGATTATATTCACAACTAGGTGTTATCCCTGGGGAACTACCTGTGAAAGACATTATACTCAGTGAGCTTCTCTGAGAACTGGATGGAGTGGAGGCAGAAGATTCAGAGAAGCACCTTCGACCCCTCCTCGCAGCCGAAGAATATCTTCGCTCTCGAGCTACTCTGCCGGCACAGACCACTAGCTCATGAGATTCTGAATAGAATTATACAGTGATCCCGCAATGCAGATATCATTGCCTCAAGGTATAATAATAGTGAGTTTGGCACTTACCACTCACACAGTGTCTTCTGGCATGGCAATGGAGTGCAGCAGTGGTACAGGTTTCAACCATTACTGTCTTACCAAAATCTTCTATTTGCCAACAAAACACATGAGACAGTCATATAATATTTCAAATAACGTGAATAACTATACCTTCAGAACAACTATCCCACAACATCTCAGTCGTTGGTGTTGTATGCAATGTATCACTGCCAAAACAAATGCTCTGTGGTTAATTAATGTCTGCCTTAGCTTGTAAAAAACAAACCTCACAGTCTCCTCACACCAAATGCTAGCCCCTCTTTGTGTCTGCAGCCTTGTCGAAAGATTCCTGCTTCGTAGCTCTGGAGTTATAAGGCAACAACCACATACCTATATACCAACCTGCAGATTAACCTTTGCTTGAGAAATGTGTCACATTTGCTTGATTTGTAGTATTTTTGATTGAAAATGCTGCATGTCCTTTCAAAATGTATAGGCATGGTACATCACAGGTAAGCACAAAAAAGAGGGATTTCGCGATTTTCTGGTGGAATAAGGAGGTATTTTTGCTTGATTATCAAACAAAAAGCTGGAAGGTTCATAGGAATGCAACCACTGATCCATTTTTGCCTGTCCAACCAACCATGCATGTAGGTATCCATCAGTATTGGTGGAAAAGGATCGGGTGAGAGATTTCTGACAATTGACCTGTGTATAATTATAGCTACACAAAATCAATACAACAGTTTGGTATAAGATTTTTACCTTGGTTGTTGTTCGTTTGAAATCTGATTCTGTGATTCAAGTCTCTCAACCCTGTCGAGAAGTTTTGAAATCAACTCATCCTTTGCAGCTTCTGGCCCGTCAGCCCTCATTCTCAAAAACCCATTCTCCTTCTGCTCAGCCACGGAGTCTAGTCTCTCTTGCAGGGAGGCAATCTCCACTTCTTGTAGCTTGTACTGATGTGCAATCTCACTGAGAGCGGTATTTGCATCATCAAAATCCCTTGAGTTCTATGTGAAAGCGAAACATAGCTCTAGCCCATAGCGGAGCAAATGGGCATGCATAAACTAATATTAGAGAGGTTGATGCAGAGGCTGTTATCTTGCGTTTTTAAAATACTTACCACTTTTGTTTGCCTTGCCCTGCTCACCACTTGGGCAATGATGGTTAGCTCGTCCAGTGTGCGACTCTTCACAAAACGTTTTGTCAACAAGCGAAAACAAGGGCGTGAGAACTCACCATTTCATTTGTCATCCAAACAATGAGCAGCAATAATGTTATACCAAGTCAAGAACGTGCTCGAACTTAGCCTTACCAGGTGTACAACACGCGTGTGGAACTACCGAACTAGTAGTATAGCCGCCTGTAACAATTGGGCCGCGCTTCGCTCCCATACTGCTCATGCGCGGCCACGTGCGCGGGGCGGGGTACAACGCGCCTTTGGCCGTCCCCCCATCTCGCGTCCCGTGCACGGCCCCGCACGTACTGGGGCAAACTGGCGGTTGTGGATTTCTTTTCTCTCATTTGTTGATCGGACAATTTCGACCCCTTATCTCCTCTCATCATGGCAGGTAGCTAGCACAGCATGATCCACTTTTTTCACTCGCAGGTGGTGCCTGAGGTTGCAGGTCCCACTAGTACTGCTACGTATGTAAGTTTATATGCTATTTTTTGCTAGACACGTGTGCTTGTAGCTATGTATGTGCATTTATGAGTAGTGCTGTTTTTTCTTATTGAGAATCTCTTACTCCTTCAAATTCATGTAATTATAATTATATAGGAGGCTTCCAAGTGGTAGCCACTGTTGATGCACGCACAGTTGCAAGTTGTGCCACAAGGAAATGTATGAACCACATAATACACAGTGAATTAGGCAGCTTATCATCAAGTAGAGAAATATGCTTCCTGCATTGTTTCCTCCAATTAGTGTATATGAATTATGCAAACATACATACCACAGATTAGCTGAAGCCCTGATAAAATACTACACTCCACCCAGGGCACAAGTTGGGAAACTGGGGCCATAGCCTGTGTGACCAGACCCTACTGGTGGAGGGTTGAAACGCAGTCCTTTTCTTGATTCCAACAGTTGTTTCTTTGCCAGCTTATTACATCTTGAGTGTCTTTGATGAGCTTGGGTAACGCTAAATCTTTCAGCACCCTCGGTGCTGTTGTTTCTTACTCATATATAATACGTTTGCATGCCAAAGTGCGCCTACACATTGTCCTCTTTGTGAGAAATACTTCTGTTTCGTTTAACAGGTAGTCTTGTAGCTATAATACTTCGCACTATATTATATTGCGCCAATGCTTTAGCGGCTAGGTTGACAATAATATAATAATAGTTGGGATTCTGAAAACATCTTATAATCATCTTGATTATATTTGTGTGTATACACAAATAGCTCTACTTGCAGATTGAGGCTCCTCCTCAGTCACCCACACCCAATCTATTCTCATTTGGAGGGGTCTCCCCTCCCTCAGCTACTAAACGTCAGCAACAGCAGCCCCCTGCTGGCGACCAAGTAGTTCCCCAGTCTCCTGGGCCAGGAAGTGATGATGTTTCTAACAGCACACTGTATGACCTGTCCATGGACTGGCCCTACAATTGAACTACTGGACCCTATATCAAACTTTTCCAGTGTGAGCACTATCTCCCTTGATTTTTGTTAATCACTTGTTTTCATCTATTATTAACTTGTGTTTGCATTATTCAACTCAACAATATTTTGTAACCACACCCTGTGATCAAAAAAGGGGGCATTTTCAAGAGTATAATGATAGCAAAAGAGATGATGAGAATGACTATATAGGTAGCATGAATGATTTATAATAATATTATACAAGAAAATTGTTTTTGAGCATAATTAGGCTTGTTTTATACATTATTATAATATAGATTTGTATATACAATCATTGAAGGGAGAAGTGAAGCATTGTCACTGTAGATTTCGATCACTCTGAAAAGAACTCACCCCGTTGCTCTGCTGTAACCAATAAGACTAAAAATTATTCGTTTTGGTGCTAATTCAGCGTCAGTAGCTGAAGACCTTGAGGTGTCGGATCTCGGCAGCCTTGCGCATGCGCAAATCCCACGTGGGTGCTTCAGCGTCGTCGCTTCTTCTCCGTCCTGCTCGCTGGACAACCGTTGCCCCCGTGGGATCCTGGACGCACGCTACCACCACGAGATGTATTTCGCTAACTTCCCCAACCCGCAGGATTACATGCGGTTTGCAACAGTGAACAACGCGCTGTGGTCACTCCGTTTTTCTGCGCACCATACCGTAGAGCTCATTTGCCTTTCTCTCATTGTTATACAAGTCGGCGTTGGGACCTCTCACGGCGTTGGTGTGCAGTTGGAGTTCCCTTCCTCTCATTGGTGATCAAGTCACATGGATTGAGGGGGGAGGAGGGAAGGGATTGAGGGGGTAATGGAGGGGCAACGAGAGGCTAAGGGATAAAGTAGGGGAGGGGATTGAGAGGTTACTGGGAATGACTTGGAAACCTAACAATCATTATTGTAGTGTGTTTTGTATTTCAAATTATTTTATCCCCTTGTGAGTTGCTGCCAAATACCATAAGCGGTGAATTGCGTTAAAATAAAAAATTCAAGAAAAAAGTATGAAGACTTACATTACAAATGAATCAATTATTAACACCACGTAATGTTCATTACCTACTGCCAACAACGAACAGTGAAAGAGCGGACTAGCTTCTACCAGTATATAGTATCAGTACAATGAACCTAGTGATTGGTTGAAGAACAAACAGGGGAGTGAGTAAACGCTGTGCATTCGATGGTGGCACCAGTTCCCTCATGTTGGTAGGTTTACTCTCAAACTCTGTTTCCCCCCGGTCCTCAGGTCGTAGAGTTTCCAAATAATGCCCACCACGGAGGCCCCGGCGAAGACAAAGAGGTAGAAGTACAAGAGGCCCAGGTAGACGACGGCGTTGATACAGTCAGGCCTCTTGGTGAGGGCATACGTCCCATACGCTATCCACCCTGCATGAAGCACATACAACCACAGTGTATATTTTTAGAACGTGAAAACATTGCGGTTACACATGGAATTGGCGGATAAATATGGAGCCTTTTACTGCTTGTTTCAGTCGGCCATTTTGTTTGTCGGGCAACTACAAAAAAGAAATCTGCCTGTGACTGTGCCACCCCTTCACACGCAGATTTCACGTTTCATAGCTACTGGGCAGGGACTTTGTGTTATAGTGGTAGAAGTAAACTGCAATATGTTAGGATTGGTTAGCTGCTACATTGCGAATAGTTTTGATCGCTGCAAGGGGTCTTACCCCTCCACTTATTGCTCCACTGTATAAGTTACCCCCCATACATACATACCTACTCTGGCATGAAACACACTTCAAGGCAGCTGGTGCAAGGGGTCTTACCCCTCCACTTATTGCTCCACTGTATAAGTTACCCCCCATACATACATACCTACTCTGGCATGAAACACACTTCAAGGCAGCTGGTGCAAGGGGTTCTTACCAGCGTATAGGAAGACTCCAACAGCCGTCACAGCGAGACAGATTGCGCCAATCACCCGGGCAATGAGAGGGAACTCCCCACAGCATAGACCAACGAACCCGACACAGCAGACACAGGAGGCAATGAGCATCATCATCACCACTATCCCCGTGTTCTGGAGTGTCCGTGTGCAGAGAGAAGGACACAAGGAATCAGAAAACGCAACTCAAGAGTACATCTCAACAGACTAATATCTTGTTTGCTAATCTTTGTTTGTGTGCTGGTCTCAGAAGCAAACTTAAAATTTTAGCAGCCTTTGCTCACACAGCACAGAACGTAAAAGCCTGAGGTTCAATTTCTACTTGTCTGGATTTGGGATTTGGACACTAATGATTTCTCTAATAAAAGCCCGCCATGACACAGACTTGTTAAGTGTGAGTAAACAAACATGTCACATCTATATACTACACAGTCTGGACTCTGATTGGAGTTTTTGGTGACTTCAACCAATACACATGAGTGTATAATATTAGTTACCTAACAGTGGAACCTCCGAACAAGGACACCATGGGACCAATGATTTTGTCCCTTGTAGAGAGGCCGTCCCTATCTCAGAGGTCAAATAGTATTAGCATGGGGTTGAAACAAGTGTCCTTTGTAGAGAGGTCGTCCCTATCTCGGAGGTCAAATAGTATTAGCATGGGGTTGAAACAAGTGTCCTTTGTAGAGAGGTCGTCCCTATCTCGGAGGCTAAAAAAATGCTACCAATGCACACTCGAGTGCACCTAAAGTATTAGCATTAGCATGAAACAAGTGTCCTTTGTAAAGCGGTTGTCCCTATCTCGGATGGTCCCTTATCAGAGGTTCCACTGTATAATTATAATTATGTGTGTACTGAAGCTGCACTCGGTTGTTTGTAAGTTAGGAGTCAGAGGTCCCACATCAGGCTGCTAACCGTGAGGAAAATGTTGAGAGAAGCAAAGTCCCCTCCTCCTCCACCAGTCCCGCCAGACTGACTGTCACATGCAGATGCCCCGTTGCCAGCCCCCACTACCGAGCCTCCCATCCACACCACTCCTCCTGTGATTCCCAGCACTACCACCGCTGTATAGGGCAGGGGGGAGATGGAGCGAGGAGGGAGGGACAGGAGGGAATAAACTGATGCACGTTCAATACACACAAATAAGGCATGGTTTATATGTGTAGTAGTTTAGGCTCTGTAAAAGCATACATTTAAGACAGAGATTTCTGCTAGCCAGGCATTTTGATGTACAACTCTAAAAGTATGCACTTTCTCTACATTTTGGTGGCAAGTAGTGTTATACAACTGCCCTTTTTGTATGTAGCTAAACTGGGAAATTAACAGGCGAACCCAGCATTGTTGTATTATAGAGATATAGGTGAGAGTTGACACTAACTGCAGCATAGGGCCTGTGTCATGGGAGTCATTCGACAGTACTTGGCACAACAGTTAGCACATCCTCCTTCCAACTTGTCTGATACTGTACCCTTCCTCTCTGAGAGGTGGGGAGATGGAGAGAGGAGGGAAAGAGGAGGGAGAGAGAAGAGAGAGAGAGGAGGGGAGAGAGGAGAGAGAGAGAGAGGAGGGAGAGAGGTGGGGAGAAAGGAGAGAGAGAGAGGAGGGAGAGAGGAGAGAGAGAGAGGAGGGAGAGAGGTGGGGAGAAAGGAGAGGGGAGAGAGGAGCGAGAGAGGAGAGAGAGAGGGTAAATGGGTTGGGAAAGGGTAGTAGTGGAAGGGAAAATGGAAGTAGGGAAGGAGAACAAAAGAGGTACGAGGAAGGAGAGAGAGACAGGGATGTAACAGGGACAGAGCTTCTAACATCGAGCAAACTTGGCCAACGAAAGTCACATCCAACTATGTAAAAAAACCTTCATAAAACTTACTTCTTAGTTTGGGAGCCATGACATCAGAAACTGCTCTTTAGAACTGCAGATGTACATATGGGCAGTGGGGGAGATTGCCAATTACACGAATGAAATGCAATCAACACCACATAAAAGCAGTATACAATGTAGCTACATAATTATTGAACATGATAGTATTACAGCTCAATTGCACTACTAGGAAAGTTACTCTTGCAGGCAAACTATACACCTATAAAGCAGCCACAACGTTATGTTAAGGCCCACAGTACTTGAAAAGAGGTACATACACATTAGTTGGCATAGTCCAGTTCCAGAGGAAATGAACTGTATACAGTGGAACCTCTGATTAGGGATAGGGACGACCTCTCTACAAAGGACACTTGTTTCAACCCCATGCTAATACTTTAGTGTATTATTCGACCTCCGAGATAGGGACGACCTCTCTACAAAGACACTTCCATGCTAATACTTTAGTGTATTATTTGACCTCAGAGATAAGGACGACCTCTCTACAAGGGACAAAATCGTTGGCCTCATAGTGTCCATTGTTCGGAGGTTCCACTGTAAGTTTCTAGCTGAAGGGGTGTGTGACTAGAGTTTTGGGACATAATAAAGGTCAATTGAGGACCTACATACCCTATAGTGCCACCATATACCCTTCATCCACCTTACAACTTGCTAGTAACCCGAATTCATTGGAATGTCAAGTCTAACCAATACCACAGTACACATTACTGCAGAGTACAAGTGTGAAGGTGTTAATAGTACTCAGGCTAGCTGACCAATGAAGAATGAATGTGTAGATACACAAATGAATACTCAGTACAACCTGCAGTCACGTGTAGTAGTCCATCCATGTCAATAGTATCCATGTCTATAATACATTCTGTCATTGATATTCCCAATCGTGGTAGTATGCACCAAACTAAAACCACCCTAAAATGTTCTAGAAGGACAAGGCACAGTATAAATATACTCAAAGCTTAAAGCAATGAAGTTGGTCAAAGGAATCGCCACACATTCATTCTTGACATATCTTCACGTGAATGTAACATTAGAACACCAGTGCCAGGAAAGGATCAATGGCAGCCCTATAACACCAGACACCAACCACTGTTGGAACCACAAACTTAACCCTCTCCCCACACCATGTCAGTGTCCTTTCAGTACAGTTGGCTCCTTCCTTTAGCAAATGCATGTACAACATGCATGTATTATGCTAAATACACATGTGTATGAAGTCAATGAGCCAGTCTCACTAGCAAGGATAAACCACACCGATTTGACTTCTTTTCCTTCAAAATCTTGGCAAGAACACTGCATGTCCAATGAGGTGTGTACATACATAGGCTGTACCCTAGTCCTTGTGTACAGCAACTGCACTAGCTCTCATGATTCAGT